TTTGATAAAATAAATAAATTATTAGTGAATATCATTGAAACTGATTTTGTGATTGTCATTTTCGTTTCCTCTGAAATTGGAATTCTTGAAAAATCAGAAGCACTTCAGAATCAGAATGAGAATCACTCGCAACTCTGCCTCTCCCCTCCCCGAGAAGAACCGAATTCAGTTTTCACCTTCTCTGCAAAAACAAACGAGTCGCTGAAGTATCGAATTTTTCTTTCCAAAAGTGCTTCTGCGATATTATTTGTTAGTTGTTCCAATGTTAATCCTACAGAAAAGTTGGAACAAAAATAGCTTAGTCCCTCCCAATCCATTGCGGAATAGATTCTTCAAAACTCATACCCCAAAATGGATTCAATAATTCCTTTCTCTTGTATTCTGACCACACCATTGATTATGGAGTTTGGGTTTTATGTTTTTTTTTTTTTTTTTTTTTTCAGTTTATTAGATTAAATTAATCTTACTCATGTACTCCTTCACTACAGCTATGAATTATCCTCACACTATTAATCAAAGTTGTTTAATTACTATGTTTTGAATAAAAGTTAATTTACAAATTAATTGAATTCTCGTACTTTTTTAAAATTAATTTTTGAGGAAAATAAGTCAAATTTATGTGATTTATAATCCTAGATTAGTTAAATAGAATATTAAATAAGTTAAATTCTACTTTTATTAGTGATAGACATTTTTTTACCAATAATTATATCATAAAGTTTGTTTTTATCATCATAAATTTATCAAAATTGTTTTTCAACTTTTATTGAGATTTTTTTTGTCAATTCTTTTCGTCTAAAACAATTTTTTAAATTAGAGTTAATATTATATATATATATATATATATATATATATATATATAAAGTTATTTTTAAAAACTAAAACCAAAACTAAATAAATAAAAATAAGTCTAAGACTATTTTATATATAACTTTATAAGGTAAAAAGGTAAAGAAAGTTCAAATTATACTAATTCATCACAACTAACACTTTGTGTCGATTTTTTTTTTTTTAAGAAACTTGCAAAAAAAATTATTATAATAAATGTTATTACAATATAATTAAAATTATTTTTAGTCTCACTTTTCACTAAATAAAATTGATGTAAAAAATTCAGGTTTAAAATCAATTAAAAACAGAAAAATTAGAAATTAAAAAATAAAATAGAAGAAACATGAATAAAAGAAGACATTAGAAACAAAATTTGATAAACAATATAAGAAATGAAGAGTTCTTATAAGATCAAAAATGTAAATAAGGTCTTAATAAATATATATTCTTATTTAAACTAAATTGTCGATTTTTTTATTAAAATAATATTATTATATTATATATATACGTAATGAACATCTCATGAAATTATTTACTTAATCGAACTTCTCATAAAATTATTTACTTAACTGAACATCTTTGATCTGTTGTACTTGGAATTCGGTTTCGTAAACCGAACTCCAACTTTAAACTTATGACTTCTTTTTAAATAAAAATATTAAATAAAATATATAATTAAAATTAATAAAATTAATATTAAAAATAAAATTAATATTAATATTAAAAATAAAATTTTAATTTTAAAATATAAATAATATTTATATAAAAAATAATAAAAATAATATATTATTTAAATATATTTAAATAATTATTAAAAATATTAAATAATAATTTTTTATTATATTTTTTATATATTTTTTTTTGAATAGGAAATTTAAAATTTATATATTTTTTTATTATATGAATTATTTAAGTTATAATTTTAGAAAAAAATAGAATAAATAAAAATTTAATTTAGGTAATATATTAAAAAATTAAATATTATATTATAAAAATTTATGTAATAGTTTTTATTTGATAAATTATAAATATTATATTAAAAAATTCATGCTAAAATTAATTTTTTAAAAATAATAAAGTAAAAATATTATTTAATTAGTTAAAAATTATTATTATTAATATAAAATAAACTTAAAAATAATAAATAATAAAAATTGACGAGAATTTAATGTATAATATTAAAAATAACATAATCATTGATAATAAAAATTGAAAAATAAAATTATTGACAATAATGTTAAGAAAATTTTAATCTCAAAAGTGGTGTCCAGTTCCACGATGAGAACGACGTCTATTACGTTTTGGATTTCGTTGGTGTGGTTGTTCTTGAATTTCGGGAGAAATTTGTGGAGGGTTTTCTTCTTCATAAACCTCTATTATTTTCACTCTATAAAAATCTTTCTACCTTTATTATTTTTCATTAATATCATTCATTAATATCATGTTCTATAATTTTTATTTTGCTACTAATAACTTATTTTTAATTTTACTTTTAATATTTTATAACTTAAATAATTCATATAATAAAAAAAATATAAATTTTAAATTTCCTATTCAAAAATAAAAAAATATATAAAAAAATATAATAAAAAATTATTATTTAATATTTTTAATAATTATTTAAATATATTTAAATAATATATTATTTTTATTATTTTTATATAAATATTATTTAAATTTTAAAATTAAAATTTTATTTTTAATATTACTTTTAATTATATATTTTATTTTAAAAAAAGTGTTAAATTTAAAGTTGGAATTCAGTTTAGAAGAAACCAAATTCCAAGTAAAACGATAAAAGATGTTCAGTTAAGTAAATAATTTAATGAAAGGTTCAGTTAAGTAAATAATTTCATTAGAGGTTCTTTTACGTATATATAATATAATAATATTATTTTAGTAAAAAAGTAAGTTATTCTTATTTAATATAATAATATTAAACTAAATCGTCAGTTATTTATATAATAATATTATATAAATGTAAATAAGGTCCTAATAAATATATATTCTTATTTAAACTAAATTGTCAGTTATTTCTTTTTTGAATTTAACTCTTCTTTGAATTTAACTATCATAAATTTATTTATGATTTTATTGGAGTTTGACTTTGTTTATAATTAAATTAAAAAAAAAAACAAATTACAAGTAAAACTAATTTGTCCTAAACAATAAACTAATCAAATATTAAATTAATAATTATGGATGTAAATTCTTACTTCAATAAAAGAAATAGACTTTTTAATTCTATAAGTCTATTACACATAACCAGCTTAACCTTTCTAGTGTTTTAGAACTTTGTTGAACTCCCTATAAAAAATTCTTTTTTTTGTTGTTGTACCAGCTGTGAAAACTATTAATACTTTTAACTATCCTCTTAACTATAATGAAAAGAATGTATGGGAGAAAACTATAAGAACAAATCTCATAAAAATATATATAATAAGATATAGTTAAATGAGATTCTAATTTCTTTAAATGAAGATATAAAAAATATTTAGTAAAAAACTTGAAAGAATCATTGTACATTGTAGTTGTGTATTTCATATTGGTAATCCTCTATCTTTTATAAACTCTTAAAAATAAATTTTATGTTTGATATTATTGTCATAGTTTTGTAATATCTTGATAAGTAAAATTATTGTGATTTATTTGATTTTTATATAAAAAAAATAGTGTAAATGTAAAGTATTTTCAGTAATGAACGATATATTTACTTTTATATATAAGATAATATTTTATTATATTAAATTAATTGTCATATATTTTTTATAATTTTACGTCCTATTACAAAATTCATTCAATCTATACCATGTTAGAAAATTCATTGAATTTTATCGTATAAGACTTTTATATCTATCTCTCACCAATGCAAATTTAGTCGTTTAGAAAAAGAAAATCCCCTAATCCATTTTTATCTAATGTGTAGTCAAATGTGCATTTAAAAATAAAACTTCATTTTAGTTTCTTATAATCTAATGTGATTTCCCTCAAATGGGTAGATTTATACACCATAGATACAATTAGGAATTTGAAATGCTCATCAAAACGAGCATTAACTTGTTTCAAAATGTTGGAAGAGTACTTGATCCTTCAAAACCAACTGTGGGAAATTATAATGTTATATGTAAAGTGGTTTTAATTGTTTTTAATGTGATGTGCTTCATTAGCCTATAATCTTTTGGCCTTTTCAGTTATAACAAGTTTATTATTGGGCATGTTTTAGGATAGATCCATTTATTTAATTAAAGTTTTAATATAAACTAAAATAGACTTGTAAACATGTTAAAAAAGACAGACTTGGGTAACATTTAAAATTACTTTGACTTTACTACCTATTTTTCACCTTTAAGGCATCATTTTCTATTGGATGTCTAAAAAAATATATTTTACCTAATAATGCACATAAATTAATTTTTATTTTAAATAACAACAATATTTAAAATTAAGCATCCTGACATATAATTTAATTAATATTGTATGTATAATATTAATGGAAAGCTATTCTGATGTGAGATTATAAAATAATTTCCCAACTCACTCTAAGAAAGATATTATTACATTTCTATTTCCTAATCACTTTAAACAAAAAAATTGACACAATGAATATATTTTTTTGTTCTGTTACTAGTTTCTTTCAGTTCACTGGACAATATAATAATCTTGCTCACATTACTGTGACTACTACAGACTCCAAGAGTTTCATAGATTTCTTGCTACATATATCATCTGCACAATATGTAAAGAGCATAATAATGTGACAATCAGTACACCAAGCCATATGGTTCAATACCATGTTACGATATAGGGATTTGGAAAAATTCTTCAGAATAAAGATAGGGCAAGGTAAAAATACTACATGCACAACATTTGTAAAGAGATATTTATATATAAACAAATCAATAGTTAGAAGTATGAAGCTGCATCTTCAGTTGTACCTTAGTAGCATTATATTTTTAGCAGTATCAGTCACTCACGGGTAATTTATTTTAAAAATTAATGGATATTAATCTAGACATATCAGACTTGTACAGGTGTCAGACATGAATCATAGATCCTTGGTTATACAGAACTTGCTGATGCATGTACTTGTTACAAAATTATTTCACAAGACACAATCTTGAAGTGAGGCCAATATTTAGAAGAATAGACAGAAAATTGTACAGGAATAGCTACAAGTATAGCTGGATGAGTTCATCACTAACAACTGATGGAGTGAGAACACCTAAATCGGTGAAAAGCAGAGTGAGATACTGAGGAGGAGTATAATCTCGCGCGGAACATTCAACCTCAACCTTGGATGGAATAGGCACACCAAAATCAACTGGGCGTAAGGCAGGGGCCAAATCCTTTTGGTCCAGAGGGTAAAACCGAGCAAACTGTCAATTACACACAGGATATGTAGAAGGTCCATTACTAGTTGAGTTTCATTTTGACACATGGTCATGTAAATATTTTGTTCTGGCAATCAATTAGACATCATTTATATACGACTTCTAAACTAACAATTACAAAACCTAACAATCTTACAATTCTGCAAACATGACAACCATTATTGGTGACTGTTATAAATTCTACTTTGAGTACAATAAAAGCTTTATGTTGTACTAAGTTCAAGAGGCTCTCCTATGTAATGAACCGATTTTTTTGGATTAGACTCTCATTTTATAATTAAGCTATAACAATTGGTATTTCCTTTAAAATTTGGTTTATGAACAAGACCACTTATAGGTTATATTAAAGTGCAACTTAGAGTTGTATATTTGAACATCTGCTTAGAAGAAAACGAGTTATCATTGGAACAATAGTGTGAAGGCGCGTCTTCGGCCCTTAAAAGAGATAGTAATGTTATGTGTCCCAAGTTGAATAAACCAAGAAGCTTAATAAAATACTAAGTTGAATAAACCAAGAAGCTTAATAAAATACTAAGCCGTGAGACTCTTATTTAATGGACTAATATTTTTTGTTGAACTTCCCTGGTGTGCTTAAGTCATAAAAGTTATCGTGTTAAACAGTGTACAATAATCAAATTCTTACTAATTAATATAACTATGCAGAAAAATGCCAGCAAACATACCTTGTAGCTTTCAGCAGCCACATAAACTGGCTTGTTCATACTCTTGGCGACCATTGCAATTTGGTAAGTCCCCATCATGTTGATTATACCACCACTTTCAACAACTCCATCTGCCCCAACAAATACCATGTCAACCTCGTCCATAGTATACGCCACTGCAGAATCTATAACAAGCTTCACAGGCACATCAAGCTTGGCCAGCTCATTGGACAACCGCAAACCCGTTCTATCCGGTCTCCCCTCTACAAATAAAGAGTGATCCATCAATTTCATCCTTCATAATATGACCCTCTTTCCTAATAGTGCTTAAAAAAATAACTAATTCTGGAAATAATAGAAATCACGCTGATGTCCTTCAAATCAGTTTCTGAACTTAATTACATACATCAATAAGGAGATAAAAACTGTGAATAAAAATAAAAAAAATTGTCAGAGAGAGCAGAACCTGTGCAGAAGACTCTAAAGAGCTTGTTATTCTGTGCGGCGAATTTAAGAATCTGAAGTACGACTCTGGAGAAACCGTGAACAAGAATTGTGCAACCGTTGAATATAAAATCCTGGCTCAGCATTGTAATGATATTGCGAGCCTGAAAAGGAATCGATTGAGTGAGTGATGATGTGAGAGTGAAGGAGGTGACAGAGTGAGTGAGTGACCTTGAAGGAGATTTCGCCGAATTTTTCAGCGCGTTCGAGCAAGCGAGACTTGGCGGAATTGAAGTCTTCGTATTCCAGAGCGGAAGTCCTGGTGACGTATCGCATGAAGAGATCGCAGGCGGCGGTTAAAGAGATAGAGGTCGTATCCCAACGCTGTGTGCAGCGTAACACAGTAACAGAATCGGTTAACAACAATCACATGATCAATCTGAATGAGAGAGGGAGAGAGAGAGAGAGAGAGGGAGCTAGTTACTTTGAGAGAATCGGAGGCGCTTTTGAGTTGGATTTCGAGCTGCATCATGGTGGTGGCCTTGCTGGAGCGGATGACGGCGGCCAAGGCGCGAATGGCGGCCACGGCCTCCGCCAAATCGGGATGTTTACGCCACGCGTTGAACTCCTCGATGACGGAGAAAGGTTTGTCGGCGTCATTATGAGATGGAGGAAGAGGAGGAGATGGGGCAGGATGGACAGTGGCGGATTGAGCCTGAGCAAGCCACTCGGTGCTCACTACGCCAAACTGCACCGCTCTGTTCTCATAGTACGCCGATGTCTTCCGATTCTCCATTCAATTTGTCGTTTTCTTCCTTCGTGTCTCACCAGGCATACCATGCTGTTCTTTCCTTTCCCACACATTTTATACTCACTTCCTCTACATCACCAATTTCACCTCCAAGCTATTGGCTATGTTGTTTCTTTACTTCAGTCTCTGGATCATTTATATTAAAGGATATATATTATTTTAAATTAATTGTTGAAAATTAATCTTATTTCTAAAAAATCACTTTTAAATTTGTTTTTTTTTTAATGAAAACAAAAATTCAATGAAATAATTATACATTGTTGAAGCATAATACCTTACATCTAATGAAAATAAAATTTTAACTATAGTCAAAAGTGATGAATGAGTCCATGTTGGGATGAGCTGATAAATTATTTTATAAAATTTATTTAATTATATATGAATGATATATTTTATACTCTCCCAAAGTCGAATTAATATATTTTAAAAAATAATTTTAGAGATTAATTTTATAAATAAATTGAAAAAAATTTGACAATTCAATTTTTGAAATTATTTTAAAATAAAAAATGAGGTAAATTATAAAAAAAATATCAAAAAAATTAAAAAAATAATTTAATATTTTTATGATAATAAAAAATATATTTTAACATAAATAAAACGTTGAGAACTCATAAGTAAAAATAGAAAAATAAATTATAAAACACATTTTATTAATTTTGATTTTTTTAAAAACTAAAAAAATATAAATAATTTCTAAATTTTATTATTATAAAATTGTTATTACATACTATAATATGCATTATTCATTCTAAATGATAATACAATATCTCATTTTGGATGTTTTGGAAGTCAAGGTTATTGCCAAAATAAAGATAATTCAGTACGTTCCCTTAAAACATTTACAACTATGACAAATAAAATAAAAATATGAAGAAATTAAGATTTTTACAATGTATACTCAGATTCTAAAGAAATCCTTTTGCCATCATCCTCTCAGCATTTACTAAACAAATAATTCAATCGTGACAACAAAATTCGACTCAAAATTTAATGCCCCATCTTAAGCCTCGCATTGATAACACAAAATGGGTAAAAAAAATATGTAAGCTAAATTGACATTTTAAAAACTCAAAATTAGTTATAGCAAAGTAAAAAATTAGATGTCAAAAATACTAGGTGCCATAAAGTGCTATGATTTGTGACAGACCACAGCGGTGCAGGACAAATCATTGTCTATACTCCACAAGTTCAACTCTTCGAGCCATTTCTGAATTGAATCCAGCTCCATCGCAGTTGACCAATATACCAACTTTTTATCCCGAACAAAAGATTCACTCACGTTACCAGAGCCAATCTTGGTACCAAAAGAACTCTCATCAACTATTCCAATCCTCGCACCATTCTGTTCCAATAATTTTGTTACAATATGTATAAAGCTTAAACTATCATGGGTTTCTGAATCTTTGCCTGCCAAAGACTCCGCCGCCGCTGCAACCTTCAAGACAAAGGCATCAACCCAGATTTTCTCACTAGAAGATGAGCTTTTAGCATAAAAGAGTTCAAAATTGTTCGCCACTAAGAAATCATCATTGAGATTTTCAGGCTCAGACAAGAGGTCTGAAGTGAGAAGCATGCTCCCATCCATAACCCACGTGTTATACTTATTCTCGATACACTTCTTAATTACATAGGTCTTTGCCAAAATACCCATGATGGTCTCAAAATTCAAGCCTTGCGAAGTAAATTTATACAATCCAACACTACTTAAAAATTGGTCAACGTTAATTACAGGATGTCCCCTCCTTGCCAGATCAAATAAGGAGTCAGATGCAGGGCCGATAAGTATATAATTCCTGATATTTAGCCTCTCAAAGTGGCAGAGTAAGTTTCTTGCTACAGCATCGGATACCCCAAAAAGATTTACTAAGAGGACACTATCCCGATTCTGCCGAGAGTGAAGCAACAATCTGAGTTCTTCCAGATTAGAAACAACCTTTCCAGGATGTACTTCTCTGAAACAAAAATCAAACCATTTTAAACTACTCAAAGGTTGCATTTCCAAAATATTGAAGTCCAAAGATCTTTCCTCAAGTAATTTAGAATCAGGTCCAGCAGTTTTCCCATAGTTTACTCCAGCATCTCTGTGAGAAACACTTAAAGCTCTCTCATGCAGAAGATTTGTGTATATATTAAAGTAACCACGGGATTGAATAAACTTTATGAACCAAGGTGTCCAAATCCTCTCTCCCATTTTCTTATACCATCCAGTAGTCACCTGGAAAAAATTTCAGAAATAAAATTAGGAATGAACTGCACTGCTGACATATAGAAAAGAACAAAACTGAGAATTAGATGAGAGTATAGAACAAGAGATATTTTCCTCTTTAAAGCATTTTATTACCATTCCCTCAAGAAATGGCCTATTGCCCTTTGCCTTGTTCTCGTCATACCACAGCCTGAACTCTTTCCATGGCTTTGGAAAGAGAATTTGACCCCATGTGCCAACTAACTGGTATAAGAAAAGCCGTGTCTTGTCATCCAACTGTAATTTGTTTCCATGTTTACCTGAGGCCAGAAACCAATTATATTATCAATAAACTGTACAGGTGTATCGAAAAAGCAGAGTACAACTACTATGCCAACTATACAACACATAATAGACACAAGTTAAACGAGGTTGATTAACAAAGAACTGGTACCGATCTTTAGTTGTCATATCATTTTCAAATTATAATATCACACAAAACAAGGCTGAGATCGGTGGTACATCCATTGACCCTCAACAAAGGCCAAAATCATTTGTTGATCATGATTACAATCATAACGAGTTTCCAGCCATTTGTGATGTCTTCACAACTTGGATCAAAAGTTGGTAGAATCAGAATAGGATTGCCGAGATTACTTGTGAACTCATGGGACTGGCAGGTTTTTTCAAGTTCTAGATCTGCAAAGTTATCCGCAGAGTTGTGGCATGTGGAAGAAAAAATGCATCCTGGGTCTTTTTATTGCATTTTGGTCTGTTTTTCATGTTCAGGCATTCTCTGCTCTGATTCTTTTCTCTGTTACCTTGTTCAGGCTTGGCTTGGTCGAAGCCTTCAAACATTCTTGTATTGGTATCTGTGATCGAGCATTCAGTTATGATGTCTATGTTCCGGTCATTCTATTCTTCAGCCACACATGATGAGTGGCAGTTATACTTTACATGTTCTAAAAAACATCTATTATATAGAACCATGACCATTTTATATTATACACAACCTTCTGAGATAGCATCGGTAACATGTGAAATATTGTGCATTTCCTTTAGATATAATTTTACATTTAAGTTTAATTGCGTTTTAGAGGTTATTTAAAGTTCATGTTAAATTCGCATGATTTACATGTTTTCTTCTCCCCTTCGAACATATACCCATATAAAAAATATAATGAATAGGAACCAAGTATTTTAAACATGGAAGCAAACAGTAACACCGGCAACCCGAATCCATAAAAAAATCAAGTGTTTTTTTTAAGACAAGTTCTTATCCTACCAAAAGCAGTCATTAACATGTGATCTTACTGCCATTACAATCCCAAAATTCAATACCAGTAGAACTGCAGGATTTACAGTTTCATGCCCGACTATTCCTAGAGTTTGAATTTGAGCCCGTGTTAGAACTTAGGCACATTAAGTGAAAGTTTCTCATGGCTTAAATATCACATAAAGTAGAATAAACTACTTGATGTGAGATTACTAATAATAACCTAACTCGTAATACCCCATACATAATTTTGACCATATCATTCGGGAATGTGTGGGATCACCAACAAGTATCATAAGCAGACTTTAAAATGTTAGAATATTCCAGCGAAGTAATTTATTTCAAAAGTGGGAAAAACAGCGAACAATAATAACTATGCTACGCATCATATCAATCCCAAGAGGCCTAAAATGTAAACTAAACCTAACCAGCTACGAACAAACAAGTGCCATATACTAAAGCAGTGATGAATAATAAACAAACAAAACGGTACCTGGAACAAACCTTGCTCGTTGCAACGAAACTCCAAAGACGGAAGGGCTATAATTGGAGGCATTGTAATAGAAATTGAGAATCAACGCCTTAACGAACTCATAGTAAAGCGAGGAAACCTCCAGGTCATCCTCCACCACGAAGGCGAACTCATGATCGGAAGCGGGCCACCAGGCCTCCAACCACTGGGCCTGCAGGCCCACATTGCCCGTCCTGTAATGCACTACCTTCTCCCCGAACTTCCAATCAAACGAGTCCACGAACTCCAAGATCCGACGCGCCTCGAGGAGTTTGGGGTCCACGCGCGACGCGTTGTCGGGGGCGAAGTGGTCGATGTGGAGGTGGAGGTGGACGCGGTCGCCGAGGTAGTTGGCGGCTGCGAGGGAGCGGAGGCACCGGGAGAGCGCAGCGAGGCGGTTGTAGGCGAGGACGTTGACGACGAAGCTGAAATTGGGATGGGTTCGGGTTCGAATCGGATTGGGGAAAGTGGAACTATGGTTGGATTCGGGAATGGACGGTGAGAGATAGGACTGGTGGAAGGTGTAGAAGACGAAGGCGGCGAGGGAGATGAGAATCAGTGGGAGGAAGTGACGTTTGGGTCCTACCATCGATTAGGGTCTCGAAAAAGAACGATTCATGCATGCATCAGCGAAACACTGGGTGCTGCAGGTTCGGGTTCTCCAGAACGAAGAAGAAGCAGATCTCAACGAAAACACAAACGACGACGTTTGTTAAACAACGCCGACGCAACCAAACTTAAAACTGTGCCTTAAGAGTTTTAAATTTTAATTACAGTGTATGTTTAAATTAGTATTGATTTTATAGTTTCAATTTTTTAAATGTGTGCAAATTATATGTTTAAGAAATTATTGTAATAGTATTAGTATGTAATAATATGAAGTTTTTGTGATAACTTAAATAGTAATAGTTGAAATATATGATAAAATAGTATAAAAAATGTTGGAAAAAAAGGTAATAACAATGTTTAAATAAATATCAGATTAAGTAAAAAAATTGTCGGAAAATATGTTATGGTCATAAAATAATTAAATTAGAATGTTAATATGTATCATTTTTTAATTATTTACTAAAAAATAATATTTATAGCATATTTCGTTATTTTCATGAATTTGTACTGCATTAGTTAAAAATATACCATTTTATATTCGATAACCAAGATAATAAATAATATATATATATATATATATATATATATATATATATATATATATATATATATATATATATATAAAAATGGAAGCATAAGATTCATATATGTTAAAAACTTGTCACTTTGTTTTACATAAAATAGTGTTATAGTCACTAAAATTGATCAAGTCATATTTTATTATAGTATTTTATAAAGAAATAGGCCTAAGTAAGTTCTAAACGAGTTATGCAATGTTTAAGTTGATAATTATTGGAAAATTATGTAAGTATTTCAACTTAATAATATATGATTAATTCTATTTTATTTCAAAATTTATTACTAAATAAAATATAATTAATAAATTTATAAAATTGAAATTTCTTAATTTAATAGTATTTATTAGTTTTTTTAGAACAATTTTACAAACCGGCTTTATATAAGAGGGAATGTTTCTTTTTCATTTTTAATAGATTATTTTGGGAGTTATTTTTAATTTTTCAAGAAAATACCTTATTTAGTAAATATAAAAAGAATTTGAAGTTAAATACCTTGACTTCCAACTTAATAACGTACCTATACATTTCAAATATCATAGAATTGATTTTTTTTTCTACTTCTAATCTATCGGTTTGAATTTAGACTTTTAATTTTCTTAAATTTCAATCAAATCCTCCAATTATTTTTAATTTTTTTCACTCAAATAAATAGGAATTTAAGTCGAATTTGTGGTAGAACAATATTTAAAGGAATAACTAAAAATATTACTGTAACATCGGTAATTTGTTTAATACACAATTTATTATTGTAAAAAAATATATTAAAATTATAAAAATCTCACATTTTATTTAACAAAACTCTCTTGTAATTTTATGGTTTTCAATATATTTCAACTAATATACCATGTAATAATAAAAAAATTGTGTTAAAAAACATATTACACTATTACGTAGAATAAACGAAAACATTCCATGAATAAGAAGAAGATTTGAAAACAAGATTATTTTGTGACTGATTGATTAATCACGACAAAGCTCAATCTAGAAAGTGTATTTAGCAACACATTTGGTAATTGTAGCTAAATACTTACTCGATATGCAAATCACAACTGTTGTTCATAGTGTTGCTTCCAAAATACTTAGATTTTACAGTTTATAAGATTGTATGCTACAACAAGCCCCATAACTAGGGAAAGATCAATGTTTGGCTCCACCACCATTGTGAAAACATCATCTCCTAACTCAACTCCACAACGTGACTTCTTTCTCCTTAACTGTTCATACAAAACACAAAACATGTATAAATAAAATAATAACAATAAGTGTAAATCCTTCTATGATGTTCTTCTACTGTTGCTCTACTTTCTTTATTCTTTTTGTGTGGTAGGTATTTTAAGATACCTACTCTTTTTCTTCTCATTTCTTTGTTGTTCATAGATTACAAAATATTTAGTAAAAGTAAAATATTAGTTTAGATTAGATTAATAAAAAGAGGAAGAAGATCAGGGTGTGTTTAAATAGTTGTCTGCATAACTTTCAATGAAAAGAAATTTTTCTCAACAGATGAATTGAGTTTCATAAAACATTTGAGGAATTCAAAGGATAATCCAAACATACACTAAATCACCAAAAACACATTTATGGTGCATTAAACTTAGCTAGTTAACAAGATATGAAGAAACCTTACCTCTGCAACCACCGCTCCAAACTGATTAGATATTTTGCAAGCTGAATTACAAGTGCTGCTTTCTATTTTATGAATATACGGTTGATTTTTGTCCAAACCAAGTTCAACTTCATAGATTGAATCCCCTCTAGAGATCTTATAACTTTTTGAAACTCGAAAGCATGGTCCTTTGTGGTCATTTCTTGTTGCTGGAAATCTATAACCCTCCCAGAATCTGGACAACTTATATAGCTAAACACACAAAAAAAAAAAAAAAAAAAAAAAACTGAAACTTCATCAGTCATTTTGTGTGAAAGACAGAAAAAGAAAAGAAAAACCTAACTGTTATATAATCTGTCATGAAACTGAGCATGAGTTTTGCTTACCCTTTTGAGCATAGTGAACAATATATCACCATTTTGATCCATGAGATGAACTTCATCTCTATGCTTGCAGTTGTAGTTATCAACTCGGTATGCAATTTGGCCATTGGAATCAAAGACAGTACATCCCTTTCCATTCAGTACAAGAGATTTCATCCATAGAGTAAAAGTCTCTTGCTTGCAAGTGAAATTGCAGGTAGTAGAGGAATGTAGTGCTTGAGGATGAACTTTTCCCATGGTTGAAATTGTATGTAGAATGTTACCAATAAAAGGGTTTTATACACTGTAATGGTATAATCAAATATATATATGCGCAGCCACATGCAATTTTTTAATCACATTCAACCTTAGTCGGTTGAAGAAAATAAGCATATATTGATTATCTTTATATTTATGGCAATTAGTGAGTGGTTTGAGACGAAGGCAAAACACAAAATAGTTAAACAAAAGACACATGATATAAAATACAATATCATGTATAATTTGTTCATTAGGTTCTTTAATATGACGTGTTCTTTGGAATTAGAGAAAAACTCCACAACTGCAACCGTAAGCTTGTTTAGAGCCAATTCCATGAAACCTCATCATCGATATATATATTGACTTTTGGCGGCACGTCATATCAATCGTTGCAAAAAAAATAATCCCCACTTGCTGGTTGATGATGAAATGCAGATGAATGTATACCATTCAATAGTTTTTTATAGTTTTACCAATTGCAGAGTGTAAAAGCTCCGTTGGTTTCGTCCATGTATGATCTTATTATATATCAAAATATGTAATGTACCAAACAACACTTAATATGTGTGTTTATGGTTAGAACACATTTAATATCACTAATAAATATTTAACTTTCGACATGTTGACTGCTTATACGAGGAGATGTCTACGAGATTATCCATCTAAATTTAGTTTTACGTTCTAAAGATCTGTTCGAGAAATATGTTAAATAAATTATAATATATAAATTATAGAAAATCTTATTTTATAAGTCAAGAATTAAGTAGAACTTAAATTCATTTTCTAATAAATTTACTAATATGAATTGTATACTTTTATTTTTAAAACTTGTATATATATCATTAACTAAATTATGTGTGTAATTAGGCAACGTGGGTTTGTGAAAAAAATGATACATAATGCCAATTAAAAGAGCGAAATCTAGAATATATAAAGAGGTTTTAGCAAAGTTTGGTCAACAAAGCTTAAAGATTAAAAAAAAATTCTATATTATTAGGTAGAAGAAAATAATACATCTTAAAAAGTTTTATATTATTTTAGATTATAATTAAATGGATGATAGTAATTATATAATAGATTTAAAATTTATGATGCTTTGACATTTAGTCAAAAACCCTTTTAAGTATGGATTTGATTTTTAAGTGTTGTGAAATTTAGTTTAAATTCTTGTTTTAGAGAGTGTAGGTATATTTGGGATTAAAGAGTAGTTTATACATTATGGTGTTATTTTCTATTTATCATTAAATAACAGTTCTAGTTTTCTTCCGATTTTAGAGTTTATGTTCTTTTTCGATTTTAGAGTTTTCATGTTTTCTCCCATTTTAAAATTTTCACGTTTTTATATTAGATTATTTTTTTGTCAGTTTTAAAATTTTCACGTTTCCGTATTGATTATTTTTATCTTATTTCTCTAATTAGGAAGATAATTCTAAAAAAAAAACGATGATATTATTGATGATTTTTTTTTCCTTGTCAGAATCATATTCTTAAATTGTGATTAGATTAAATAATTATTTTTTACGTTTACATCCTTGAATAGACTACGTAATCTTTATTAAATAAAGAGTAATCTGATTATTTAATTAAATATAAATGAATAACACAACTTATCCACTAATTGGTTCATACAACTTCATTTTACTAATATATAAAATAGTATTTTTTAGTTTATATTTTACATTACCATAATACTAATACACTACAAAATACTATTTTTATATAATAAAAAAGTGACGTAAAAAAAAATTATATTTAATAAAGAAAGTATTTCAATCTCATGTCTTATATCATAATACATTTATGTTTATGAAAATAATTTTAATATTTAATATGATTAAATTTGACTGTTAATTTTTTTTTAAAATTGGTTAATATGATTTTGTGTAGGTTAATTTTAATTTTATCACTTTTAATTTTCTGGTTTCCACGCCTCATTATGCAAATAAAATAAATATAACTAATTTTAACCGGTGAGAAAATTACGACTTTTTTCCTGCCTTATAAATTTTTTAATTTATAATTTTAGCGATAATTTTCGTTTATAATATTATAATTTTTTTTAATTGACCGAGTAAATTTAAACACAGATTTCTCATTATATATTATTATTATTACATAGATAATTCCTATGATGATTTTACGTTATTGTGTTATTAGTTGGTTGTTGACACTTTTTTTCCTTGCATTTTTTTATTGTATCTTCATAATTAAATTATATTTTATTTTATTTTATTTTTATTTTTGTAAGTGTTTATTTCTAATTTTTAAATTTTTGAATGTTTGATTTTTAAATTCTACTAAAGTATTTTCATTTTTTCTTCTATTATTATTTGAAGAAACAGGAAAGAATATTTAACTGTTTTTAATTTGTATCAATTTTTTATTTTGTATAATATTCAAACAACAAGATTTTTGGGTAGAATCTTAATTATTTTACTTAAGATATAAAGGTAAAAAAGAAATTATGAGGGATAGGAAGAAAGGGCGTCGGTACTTAAACTAACTTCTTCCATGTGAATTTTTGCATTTGGGCCGAAGCCTTTCATATTTGTAAGCCCACTTGGGCAGAATACTGGTCCAAAACAATTACTACGATTGGTAATATTCATTGATACTTGTATAAAGCTTCTTCAGAACAAATTTTACAAAAGAAAAAGAACATATAAATAAAATAAATATTTATGAGTTAAAATTAATTTTTTTACTAAATTGTTTAATTTTCTATCTTATAATATGATTAGATAGGTGTAACATAACATTCTTAATAAAAAAATGATTGTACTTTAGAAAAGTTAAATATTCACTTCCAATAAAAAATATTTTATGAGAAACATCCTCAAAACAAAATAAACGTAACCTGTAATATATGAAATTATATTATATGACAATCCAAAACAAATAAGACAGATAATATTTTAAAATTGTAATAGTTAATCATTCTCTTCTAAAATTTCTATTAATTCTTAAATAATTAATAAATTTAAATTTATTTTATTTTATTTTATTTTATTGGTCAAACAAATATTAAAAGAATTTTCTTTTACCATACTAAAAATTATCACAGTCAACAATTTTTGTATAATAATAATAATATTAAAATTATTAACTCCATAAAAATATAACACAATTATTGAAATAAAGTTTATATGAAACTAACTTTGGTCAAACACTAACAAAAGTTCACATATACATATGTTATCTACTTTTAAATTGAAACTATATAAAAAATAAATAAAATCACATTCATTAGGGGAATATTCTTACATGTTCCCCAAACATATTTTCCCATTTGAAAGTGACTAGTAGAAAATCACATTCATTAGGGGAATATTCTTACATGTTCCCCAAACATATTTTCCCATTTGAAAGTGACTAGTAGACCAGAATAAATAAATATATTAAATACCTGTTACCATCTTTCAACTACCCTTTCATAATTTTAATGTTATTTTTTTAATATAATGTTATTAATGTGAAGTATTTATAATTTTTTTATAAGTTGGTTTTAGATAGTTATCATGAAAACTTGAGATGATTAATTATTCTTTTACTCCAACTACGTTAATGAAGAAATTTTGATCTAATATTATATTACATATTATTTATTTTTATTGATTTCTAAAATAAAAACAAAATGAGGAGTTAAATAAGATAATCACTTTACTTATTATAATTTTTTTCTAGACATAAATTTAGGCTTTATATTCTCTATATAATTATTAAAAGGGTAATAGACACTCATTTTCAAAGCGGTAACATTTATCTTAAAGACTAAAACTTAAAATCATCATTAAATTTTGATTATCAAGGAATAAATATACAAACAAACATGTTGCTTGTTTCTTAAGCTATGTCGTTTTGGATTCAACCACAAAACATACGCGGTTTTGTTTGTGGATAATGTTCATTATGCAACGACATGTTCCTTTTTTCAACCCGTGTCATTTATACTTTAAATTTTAAATCCTGAATTATGCACTTTTCATTTTTATTCATACGAAATTATTACAAGTTTGAATTAAACTTCATTAACGACTATCATTCTTAATTTAAAAATTTATAATTATTAGATTATTAATTTTTTTTAAATAATGTATAAATTTTATTATTTTTTGAATTTTATATGAAACAAAAGGACATTTATGGAATAGTACGTTTGTTTTTTACTTTAAAAAGCCTTCATTGAACTTTGACAATGCGTACCTTGACTTTGTTTAAAAGACATCACAAAATAATATAAAAATAAACTCTAAATAACGGATATTCATGAAATTTTTCTTCTTTGGTTTTCATTCACAGAAAATCACATTTTTTAATTAGGATTAAATATATTTTTGTGCTGTACTCTTCTTAAACTTTAATTTGATTTTTTATATTTTTAAAATGTACTAGTTAATTAAAAATTTAATTATTTCATCATTTTTATGATAAAAATTGTTATTGAATATTAAATTTAAACTTAAAAAAATTGAAATTGAATTTAATTATATTTTCATGGTAAAAGATTATCTTAAATATTAAACTTAGGTATAAAAATATTAAAATAAATATTTTAAATTGTAATAATTACTTAAAAATCACACTAATTATAAATTTTAATTAATTAATGATATAAATTATTTTAAGTTTATGTTCATATGTTTTAATTAGTTGATAATAAATTTCATTTTACGTTATTATAATTTCGATTGAGAAATGAATTTTTATTTGTTATATATTATTATTAATAAATAAATTGATAATTTTGATTTTGTCGTGGAGAGTCTCTTTCTGGGGTCGCAGGAAAATAAAAATAAAAATAAAATAAAAGGGTAACCAAAACGAAGACTAGTTTCTAACGAGAAAGAGATGGAAGGAAAAGCACAATGGAAAAGTCATCACTCAATTTCAATATCCAATTCCGAATTTTCTAACTATCATTTCTTTCCCAATTTCGTGTAATTGGATACAATTCCAGACAGTTGTTACAACAATTATTATATATGTATAAATTTATT